CGCGAAGGACTACGTCATGAGTCGAACTCAAACCCTATCTAGGATCGAGTCGCGAATAAGGCTAAGAGCCGTGTATTGCACAAACGATTTACCCTACTGTGGCCTCGGTGATATTGGAGATCACCAAAAATGGTGGGACGACCTCTTCGGCAAGTTTTTCCACTATGTCACCTTCCACGCCCACAAGTACTTCGACAAGTCCAAGCCTCTCGTCTCGTACGAGGCAGCCACTGGTTACGGAAGCGCCATGAAGTCCTTCTTGAGCAGAGGTTTCGCGGCAAGCCACCCCTCACAGTTTTCACAACTAGCTGGAGAAGCCTTCGCAATACTCACTCATCACTTTACAACAACAATAGTGACAAGAAAACAGGCGACCGTTCTGTTAGACCAAGAACTGCCCCTTCTAACGATGACAGCAAGGCTATAACATTGAAACCAGAAGACATTGGCATCATCGAAACCGATGACAACCTCCACGACTACCAACTCCTGTGCATCACCATCCAACGCGATAAAAAAGGTGCTCTCCAAGAACTTAATCTCTATCCCGACAAGACTTCAATCCAAAGAGACCCTTACTTTGGTCTCCTCTACTGCCTCCTAGTCTGTGGATTCCACTCCTCCCTCTTTCCTAAATTCTTCAAAGAAGCCTATGTCGTCAACAGACAGAAGAAGAACAAAGCCCGTGTCTCGGCATTCTGGGAACAATGCTTTGACGGTATGAAGAAGGAGTTTATCTCCTTGAAGGAACTCATGGAGGACAAGAAGTACACGAGCTACAACGCAAGGAAAGCCTCTAACCAGAAGCTCGCAGAAACAACATTTGTCAGTGGAATCGCCCAGTACTTCTGCACTGGTTGGCAATCAAGAGCTGTCAACACTGTGTTTGATTATGTCATGGGGACGAAGACCCTCACCCAATCAAGCCGGTAAAGCATTAGGAGGGTGGACCACTCGCAACTGCAATGATGAGATCCAATGGTGGTATTCCCCCCAAACTCGAATCAATCCGCACCCATGCAGATCAAGTGAGCGATTTTGTCCAGGCATTGTTCACTGCTAACACCGAAAACCAGTGGCCCCTCCCTATCTGAAATCTTTTGACAGCAGCACTGTTGAGACATTATGATGATTTTATCTACATCATCCTTCAACACCCCGCTGACATCTACAAGGACACCTCCCGTCATATTCTGGTGAATACAATCCAAGAATCCCTCCGTCTCTCTAAAGTATCCGAAGAGACGTTCTCTTATTGGTGTAAGGAAGTCCGCGAAGGTTTTGCGATCGCCAACTAAATGTCCCTCCCAACCAATCTCGTCCCTCCTGGCGCCATAAAAGGAAGACAAGTCGACCATCGTGCCTGTTCGAGCACCACAACCAGTTGTCTGTGTCATACAACAGTCTTTTTGCTCAGAAGATGGCACTTCAAAACAACGTACATCACCTCCGCAATGACGTTACCGCTTTGACGCGCAGCAACCAGCGCTTAGAAGCCGTTGTGACTCAGCAAGCCAACCTCCTCTCCAGGATCATCCTATATTCAAAAATCCCCCATTGTGAGTGCCTGGGATAACCCAAGAGGCTCACAAGCCAAGTATGCTCCCCCCAACACCCCACAATCAGCACTCAGTCATTTCAATTTTTCACCCAACCCAAAGAAGTAGACAATAACAAGGATGAACAAGCTAGCCAATGACATAGCAAATGAAGTGCTTAAGAGTGGCACAACTAAGTCACCCGATATTCTAAGTTTTAAAAAAGCTTCCCAAGTAGACGTCCCACGTAGATGGAATGTAACGCCTTGATAACACCTAGATAACATTTACTCTAATTCTAATCTGTAAGTGCAAACAAAAACTCTCCCTCATAAGAAGATGCCCAAGTGGAACTCTGTTGCTCTCCGACCCCCCCCCAATCAGAATTCTAAATAGCTCGCAATTCTGACACCCCGTTCCAATTAATGTTCCATTCATTTAGTGTAATAATAATCTTCTTTAATACAAAAACCAGTAATGTTGGTGTTTCCTTCAACTTCTTTGTCCTTGGATCCCCTGTTCTTGTTTGTATGTCCAGTGGGTGTGCAAGGTGTTGTTGTGTCAACCCATGTCCTTTCAAGGTTTTGGTTCTCCCAGCTAAAGGATGCAGCGGAGCCTTTCGATGAACCAGACTTCTTGGAGCTGGATGCTTTGGATGATGGCATCGTGACTGTATTCCGCTGTGGTGTGTTTTGAGGAGTAGGCTTCTTTTTGTTGGGTGTGTACTGCTTTCTGTAGATATTGGCCTTCTTGGGAGATGTCAGCTTTCCTCTCAAGGTTGGCTCTGTCAAGGTCGATACAACTGTGCCGTCGTCTTGTTGCTCCACAATTTCTGGCGTGGGTTGGCTCTCAGTCTCAGGTTCAGGCTTGGCGGCTTCTTCTTCGTTGTCAATGATGTCCTTGGTGCTTTCTCGGTAACTACCTGTGAGGGACTGAGCAATGATCTCTCCAGCTTTTGCATAGAGCTCCCAATACCTTTGTGGTAGCTCTCGCTTGATACGATGGAGATAGTTGTAGCGGTTTCGGAATGCTATTTGGTAGGGCTCACCAATTTGTAATAGACAGGGAATTGCTTCAACAAAGCTTTCCATAGAATGCCAGGATGCTTCTCGATATCAATAATGATCTGACTCTTTTGTGCTGGAGTGAGGAGATTTTCTTGTTTCGCAGTGGATGCAGAAGAATCAGCTCCTGTTCGTGGCTCTTCTACCTCGTCCTTGTCCTCCTTCTTCTTGGAGACTACTTGCTTGGGCTTCCACTTGCCCTCCTCTGCCGATTTGTGTTTGCTTCTTGTTGTTGTTGTCATCGTGCAGTCGATTTCTCGTCCATCGATTGTGTGGCTGGTGTTCCGTTGATGGCATCATTGTTTGCAGGAAAAATCCAAGCATTGGCTCTCTTTCCGGCCAAATTGTGGGAAAGTTTTCTTCCGTACAAATAAATACGGAGCTGAAGATATACATTACCAGCCAGCCGGAATGTATTTAAGGATGACATGGTTTTGGTTTAGGCGGGAGGAATTTTTAGTGCTGCCGACCGTTCTCGAGCTGGGCGATCCATGCACGATTGATATCTTCAGATCTTTGGTTCGAAGTTTCGCTCCGAAGGTCTATTACAATCGGCACTTCCACGCTGATTTTATTCAATCAACACCACAAACACAACAACATAGCTATCGATAGAGACGATGGCAAAATCAAATGAAGAGCAAAAACTAGAACTAGAATCATTGAAGCTAACACCAGGAGAGTTCCTTGCCATCGGCCTAGATATTACAAGAGGGAAGAATCATTGGGAGTATTTGAAACCAAGTGCAAATGAGGATCGATTTCGAAAAGCGTTTGGAGCCACCACCTTGACTTGTGCCGAAATTTGGAACGATCTTGTTGTGCGTGGAGAGATAGCAAAGACTATGAAGCTGCAATACACGGCTCTTAGCCTTATTCGCGACTCGATCCTAGATAGGGTTTGAGTTCGACTCATGACGTAGTCCTTCGCGAATAGTCATTGAAGACAGGGTTCTCAATGAGCACGGGATGTCAGAGTCGTCCAAAGCAGGCTGAGCTGCTCCGTCCCAGGCAGCCTGAAAACGTGCTTGGAAAGTGCTTCGTCTTCACCACCACGTATGTCGCGTGGAGGAATCGCGTTGACTGCATCTGGCGCAAGGCATTCCAACGTAGTTCACGTGGCCTGCACAGCTAGATCGTAACTGCTCTTAGCAGAGCTAGAAGTCATCTTCCTTGAGGAGTTATGTTTATCGGTAGGCGTAGCAATGGCGAGCCCAACGAAGACCTCTCCATGCGTCCAGCCCACTTGATGGTCTGACGTGGAGTCTAGATCCATTGATGATTTGGGACCTGTAAGGTGTACTTGGCCTGTGGCATCTGCTGGAACAGTGCGAGTTTGTAGGTGGTAGAGCGAGAATCGTCGATTTCGCATTCATCGTCGAGGTCGATGAGAGGAAGGATTGGTTTGTCGCGCAGCTTAGACTCGAAGCTGGTGTATGCGTCTTTGGCAATCTTCATGGTGAGAATAGGTTGAGGGTAGCTGAAAGCTATTGTGTTTGTTAACAAAATGCACTACGCTAAAAGCTAGTGTAAAGATCTTTCGAGTGTTTTGAGTTTGAGAGAATGAAAGTTATGAGAGAGATTAGAAAGCTATGAAAACTAATCAACGAGAGAGATCCACAATCAAAGGATCGTAGATCTGAACTCCCGCGGGAGACTGTAGAGTGTGATAGAGTAGGTTGGTAGCAATCCTACTCACTCCACGATCCAAAAACGGAACGCGTGGAAGATTCGTCTAGCATTTATCTAGTAGCGTGGAAGTACTCCACCGTGGCTAAATATCTAGAGCGATGTTTCATCATCAACCTAGTATGACTAGAGCGTC